CCCGGCCCGACTCGGGTCGCTGCCCCTCGGCCTCCCTGCGGAAGCTGCGGCCCTGGCCCTCGAATCCAGGCCCCGATCCGCCCCGGCCTCATGCGGTGGCTCCGTTCGGGCCCATCCAAGCCGGGCCGCTCCGGGCCTGCCACCTCCTTCGCCCTCTGCCGGGCGACGACCGGCCGCAAAGTCTGCCCCGGACGAGCAGGTTGCCGCACCTCACCGAATTTAAGGCGAAGAGAAAAGAGCCAGAAATCCCCGATGCGGCGGCAGCTGCGGCGGAGTCTCCTCTGCGACCGGAACTAACGCGAGGAGGAGGGAAGAGGTGCCACTCCCGCCCCGGCCACTGTCCTATCGCGAGATTTTCTCCCTGGCACCACCCGCGATCCTCCCTGATCGCGGCCTGGAGCCTCTGCCTTGCTGCTCGTTAGGGTTTAGGGTGGGAGCCGGGAAGACGGGGACAGAGGGCGCGGCTCGAGCCCTCCTTATTCCCTTGCTGGGCTCCAGGCTGCTCGGACACTTCCTGGATGGCCTGTGTGCCCTCCACCTCGACGACTGCAGCCCCTTACTCACGGAGGGCTCGGAAGGAGGCAGCCCCGCCTGGCCCGAAGTTAGCGCCTTCCCTGCCGGCCCCCTCCAGCCCCGGAAGTCGGAGCCCGAGGGCTGGGAGCGCTTGGACCCGCGGGCCAAGGGCGGACGCGGGGCTCTAGCTAGGATCCAGGAGGCCACGCCTCGCCCCCGCTGGGTCGAGTTGTCCCAGCTCCCGCTGGCGAAGTCCGAAGCAGCCGACATTGCTTTGCGGTGCTGGCTGGGTGGGGTCCTGGGTCGCACGCTTGGGAGTGAGCAGGACGCAGCGAGGGTTGTGGGGGGAAGACGGCCACGCCTTGCTGCTGGTTCTGCCCTGGTCTCCCAAGTGTGGTGCATGTGGGGGACTTGTTAAGCAGATTGCTGGGCCCCGCCGGTGGAGCTGCTCTGTTGTATTCAAATCAGCGTGAGACTAAGAGGACTTTAAGTTTTAGCCAAGTTAAAGGAGATTTTTTTATTAACCTGGCAGCTACAAGAGGACTCAGGTCACTCCAAACCTTGCAGCCCCTAAGCAGAGGGGAAGAAGGTTTAGAAAGGCAGAAACCACAACAGCAAAGAAAAACAATAACGTAAAAACTGGGTCTTGCGAGAGCAGTTTACAAAAACCGAAAAAGCAAGTTATCAGGAAGGACATTCAAGAATGACAGTGGACGTCTGCTGTTTGTAAGCATTCAGTGAGAAATTTTAGGTGGCACATATGGGTCAGGTCACGGGGAAAGGGAAATGGGACCAGAATCATTCAAAATGGAGGTGCACATGCTTCATTTCCCACTAGTTTTTTCTTTTTTTTTTTTTGAGAGGTTCTCCCTCCCCGCTCGCTGTAGGGTACAGAGACAGAGAGACAGAAAGCGAGAAAGCACCCTACAGGGGGGTGGCCATGCAGCAATCCCGCAATCCCTTCTCCTCCATTCTCTCGGGATCTTGGGCACCCACGCACACGTGCCGGGGCATGAGCTTAAGCCACGGGGTCTGGGACTTGAACCGTGGTCAGCCCGCTTGGGAGTTCAGCGACATAGCCAGCCATTAAGCTAACTGCTGGTCCGTCTCCCCCCAACACACACTCTGGTTTTAAGGAAATGAGTCAAATCATTGACTCCTCAGTGCTTAATGGGAGTGGCTGATACTGTTAAGGATTAGGAGCTTAATTTAATACATTTAATAGGCTGCTGAGTAAACTGAGTGAAATGTCTGTGGATGCAGGGACTGAGTAGGAGTTCTAGGAAGATAAAGGTGAGGGGTCCTGCTTCCGCAGTCAGCAGGGTACTCAGCCAAGGTGTCCAATCAAACATCTGTTGGTACCAATTCTGGGATTGTTTGCACTGCCTTTTGCGTTGTTCAATGTTATTTCTAAGGCTAGGCTTTCCTTGATCACTCCAGATTTATTAGCCTACAAACAGCAATCTTCTCCCAAAGCGACATAAAGTCCTCCCTGTTGGAGAAATATTAAGTTCTCCTATTTTGGAGAACTACTTGTGCTAGTGAATGTACTTGGTCATGTAGTTGAGATATTAAATGCTCTAAATGGCCTAAATCTGCATGGATGAGCTTAGAGAGCTCCCAGAGTTGTAGGTCTCCCTGGATGAGAGATGCCCACCCCACTGCTGTAGAGCCAGCTATGCCTAGCCCCACAAGCAGGGGTACAAGGACAGGAGCAGCCTTTTTCCAGCGGGTAAGGGACAGGGGAGGCTACATTAGCGCTTCTCCAGCATTTCCCGAATAAACTGAGACTCGGAGAATAATTTGAACAAGGAAACAGAAATTGACTTCAGAAGCTGAGACACGTTGTGAGAGTCCTGTGTTACAGACCCACCAAGTATGGTTGGGAGCCTGGTATGTGACTTGGGTATTATTAATAAGATAGGTGGAGTTACAAAACTGCAAGTAAGTAGAGTCACTAGAGGTCTTATTTACTAAACATGTTCCCCTTTCTTGGATATCCCCTAGAGTGGGAGGTTATTCATGCAATGACCAGTGGTGTTAATCAGGGGATATTCTGTTCTGATGTCCGTGGGATATGGGGGCTTCCAGTGGAGGCAGCTAAGTCAGATTGGGACTAATTGAGAAGACAGTGTACGGCTGACAGAGATAGGTGAAGTGTCAGGCAGGGGTGTCCTTGAAATTTCCAAGCTAGGGGTCAGGGTGTGTTGGCTGGGAGGCAATGGCTGATCGGAGCCAAAAGTGAGTTCATTATACTGGTTAGGGGACCTAAGAGGAGCAGGGTCCAAAGCGGCCTTCTCCTTTGAATAGTGAAAATGGTCCCTGGATCATTTCCACGTATATACAGCCTAATCCCGCAGGTCTTTCCCTCATCCCACAAGGGATGCGTGGCTTGTTTTACACTAATGTGGAAGGGGTTACAGTGACTAATGTTACATGGGTTAGGGGCAGGTAAACGAGTGATAGCCAGTCATTTGTCAGCAGCTGAGGCCGCCTTGAGTCTGGGGTGGTGCAGCCAAGTCGGGATTCCAACGACCTTCACAGCAGTCGGTGTAGTAAGGGTGATGATGTAGGGTCCTTTCCAAGCAGGAGTCAGTCCTGGGGTCATAGATTTCTTAACCCACACAGAGTCACTTGGCTGGAAAGGGTGGACAGGGTCTGAAGCAGGCACTGGTGAGACAGACATGGTTGTAAGCAGCCTTCTGGGATGAATCTAGAGCCTGTAAGAGCTTGAGCAAGGTATGGTTATGGAGTTCGGTTCTCATTTCTTCCTGTAATCTCAAGAGGAGAGGGGGAGGTCTCTTGAACATTATCTCATAAGGGGACAACCCCTCCAGGTAAGGAGTGCATCTTACCTGTAAAAGAGCCAAGGGGAGCAGGGTGACCCAGTTTTCACCAGTCCCTAGAGTAAGCTTAATTAAGGTCTCTTTTAAAGACCTTTTCAGGGCCAGCAGGTTGCATGATGGCACTGGATTCCCACTGGCCGTGATTCAAGTCCTGAATCAAGTGGCTTGTTTTCTCACTTTCCCTCTCTCTGTCTGTCCGATCAAACTGGAAAGTAACAACAATAATAAGCAAAGTTAAATAAAATAATTCTTTTAAAAAATAAATAAAGTCCTGTTCATACATTGTACCTGCCCAGAACTCCAGGGCCAGTAGGCACAGTGTAATTTCCATTTAATATTTAGGGCCTTTGCCAAATCTTGTGATATCTTGGGCACAAATGCAGGCCCATTATCTAACCCAATTGTCATAGGCAATGCAAACCTAGGGATAATTTCCTGGAGCAATTTCTTTGTAACTGGAATAGCAGTTTCTGATTTAATGGGGAAGGTTTCAACCTACCCTTGAAAAAGTATCTGCATAGACTAGGAGATTCCTATACTCATTCACAGGGGGTTTGATTTCTGTAAAATGTTCCCCTGGGGAGGTGCCTTGAGCCCAGATTCCCATGGGTGTCTCTCCTGACGGCTTGGCATTTCATTGGGCACGGGTAGTGCGCCTAGAAGTGATACTGTTCACTAAACTTATCAGGCCTGGAACACAGTATTTACCCCTTGTTAATCCTGTTAGTTTCATCTGTCCTAGATGAGTCATCTGGTGCAGCTGGCCTATTAGTGTCCGACCCAGGACCTCAGGAATAATCAGTCTGTCATATAGTAGCCTCAGCCATCCAGACAGCTCCCGGACTGCTTGTTTTCTCTTAGCAAATTCTTCTTCTTTCTTTGGGTAGGTAGGTGAGATAGGAAGGCTTGGATCTGGCATTGCAACAAGGACTCAGAGAGGCCTCACTGGCTTTAGGGCGGCCTCTCAAGCCACTTGTTCTGTGGCCTGATTTCCTCTAGCCTTGATGGAATCTCCTTTTTGGTGGCCTTTACAGTGCACAGTAGCCACTGCTTTAGGTATCCAAATGGCTTCCAGTGGAGCCAAAATTTCTTCTTTGTTTTTAATGTTCTTTCCAGCTGAGGTTAGAAGGCCCCTTTCCCTCTAGAGTGTCCCATAGACATGGGCGGTAGCAAAAGCATACCGGCTATCATTATACATTCTCAGCCTTCCCTTTTGCCCATCGCAAGGCCTGTATGAAGGCACTAAGTTATGCCTTTTGGGCTGATGTTCCCCTGTTAAGGGACTGAGACCATATGGTCCACTCTTGTGTAACCACAGCTGCCCCCATGTACCTGACCCCTTCTTGAACAAAACTGCTCCCATCTGTGAAAAGGATCTCACCTGCTGACAGTAGTGGGGTGTCCTTCAAATCCGACCTGGTGGACTGTCTTATATCAATTGTGTCGAAACAGCCATGTATAGGCTCATTGCAGTCTTCATCTGGGAGTAGGGTAGCAGGATTCAGAGCTCTGGCCTTCTAGAACCTAATTCAAGGCTGATCTAGTAAAAGAGCCTGGTACTGAGTCTCTTGAGTGTTTGAGATTCATCTTTCAAGAGTAGCCTAGAGAAGCATCTCAACTGCATGGGGACAGGGAAGATAAGTTTCTGCCCCAAGGTCAATTTGTAGGTCTCTTACTAGCATGGCTGTAGCTTCCACTGCCCAGAGGTATGTCAGCCATCCAGAGCCCACTGCCAATTCTTTTTGACAGGTATGCCACTGACCGCTTCTAAGGCCCTAAAGGTTGGGTAAGGACCCCTTTTGCTATGCCATTTTTCTCATTGATAAAGAGATGGAAAGGCTTTCTGGTGATTTTTGGGAGAGCCAAGGTGAGGGGATGAGACAAGGGCCTGTTTTAAATCTTTTTTTTTTTTTTTTTTTTGAGAGGTTTTTTTGCTATAGTTGCGCGTGCGCTCGCCAGACAGAGAGAGAC